TTGCGGCGGAGCAGCGGAGATGAAGGACGAAAGCGAGGATCGACGAAAGGCCAGCCTGGTGTCTTGGCCCCGTCACATGCCACCGCCTACATTTGCAGCCCTGAATTTGAGAACTAAAGTGGTCCTACCAGAATTACAGTAAATCTATAAATATAACCATCGTAGATGTATTCTCCAGTCTATCTACAAGAATACAGCCTTTTCCAGCTAATTCAACACATCGGCAACAATATGCTGCACGCCCAAATACATGCAAGATCCAAACACATGACCGCCCATAAATCAGTACCAGTAGCAAGAATGAGGAACGCAGAGCAAGTAATACAAACAAAATCAAGACAGGCAGGTATAAACATACGATACAATCCATGTCGCTTCAAAGAGGTATAAAGGTAAAAGGGGGTATGATGGTATCCCACAAAGCAATCACACATGAAAACGCTGTTCCTCCTTCTACAGCGGATACAGCTGCTCCTTCGTCTTCTGACTGATCGGCCCAATCTCCTGCATTGCCTGCATGTCCTCCAGCACTTCGTTGAACGTGTCCTGGATCCCCGCTGCCACCTTGCTCCGATTCCACTCTCCCCGCGTCTGCCACAGGTAGTCCATCAGGTTCGTGTTGATCTGCTCGAGCTGCTCCACACTGCAGCCGCTCGTCCGCTGCGTCAGCTGCTCGTGCAGCTTCTGCACGTATTCCAGGTCCAGCGTTATTTTCGGCGACAGGTCCTCGTTATTCAGCAGCGACTGCATTCCCGCCGGCACATGCGCAGCCGGCTTGGTCGGGTGGTCAAACAGGGGCACCGGCGGCTGAGCCCGTGGTTGCGAGTGCGCCGGGCCATTTTCCAGCGGCGCCAGGTCAGCAGCCGGTCGGGGCGACGGCTGGCTGCTGTCTCCCTGTTGTGTGTCTGGAAGATGTTCCTCCTGCGATACCCGGTCCGGGTACTGCGTGAGGTCGGGGAAGTCGTGTCGCATCCCTTGAGTGGCCACCGGACTCTGCGTGTATGGGTTCGGTACCGAGGACTGCTCAGACGACTTCTTGTCCGACGTCGTCTGCGTCGTCGACGCTTCGTTAGCGTACTCGTGAGGCTGAGATCCGGGCGCCATGGGCGTCATGGGGCCCTTCTGCGAGAAGCTTGAAATTCCCGACTCACGCCGCACCTGCTGCGACGGTGCTGTGTGCGAATAGGGAGGTTTGGGCTGCGCCGACGGACCAAACGAGCTCGTCTGCGTTTCCTTTTCGGCCGAGTGATCCGAGTTGGTCATGTAGGTATCGCCATCACCATCCGGGCGGTCCTCGTGCGAGCCATTGCTGGTGAGCGCATGCGTACTGAGGTCGTTGAGGTCCGATCCGCCCCCGGTATGGTAGCCATTGGTGATGAAGCTCACTGTTGATCGACGGGTAGGGGTCACCGGTCGGCCCGTCTCTTTCGGACCAAGATCCGGGAACGTCTCGCCCAGGACCACCGGACCGCTGGATGGGCCCGATTCGGTGTTGCCGTGCGGGACTCGGTTTGCCGCCGCGCGACCGATCAGGCCTGCCTCCTCTTCTTCCGCCGCCTTGCGCGCCTTTTCGATGGCGATTTTCTCTCTCTCCAGCTCTCGCAGGTAGACCCCTTCGCATTCCGTCACCAGCGCGGGTTCAGTCTGCTCGATGGTAGCAATATCCACCTCCACATTGGACAGCAGTTCATTGGCGCGCAGCAGCCTTTCCTGTTCCCCAAGCTGCCGAGCGTCCTTGGCAAGCCTCTTAATATCCGCCAAGAAGTCCTTGGGCCGCTTGTAGTACCCATTGGAGAGCCGCTTCTCGATGGTGACAATCTCGAGGTTGTAGAAGAACTTGCCCGATACGGCCTCGCGCAACCCAGGAACCCCATTCTTGTCGAAAGCCTTCTCAAACGGCCGGAAGGTGGTGCGCTGTTCAATCGGTAGATCACTGGTCACAATGTTCGGGTCTTCCTCCTCCCAAAGGTAGCGAATCTGAGATTCGTCGATCACGCCCGTGCGGAAGCGCTTGTATTTCTTGATCTGGTCCATGATAGGCTGGATGCGGATCTTGAGAAGGTTGAGAGTCTGGTGATCTTTCTTTTTCTGCGCCTTCAGCTGCTCCTTGGAGAGGGGCGTTGTCGGCTTAGGGGGCGGCGGGGGCGCAACTTCTAGCGTCTCCAGCTCCCTCTTCTTCCGGTTCTCCGGGTCGGGCAAGTGTGCAGGCGATGTTTTGATGTAGTCTATCACTTTAGTGAAATACTCGTAGCGTGCCTCGCTACCGGGCGCTCTGAGGTCGTAGAAGTTCTTCTTCGAATACCCAAACAGGTTTCGCAGCACACCGTTGTCCATGTCCTCACCAGCTGACTCCTGCACGCCTAGTAGCAGCACAGGATCCGTCGGAGGAACTGACCGCAGTAGACCCAGGAACGTAGACATCACGGCCGGGCCCACGGTTTCAGTCCAAGCCTGGATATTCGGGATGTAGATCACACTCGGCTTGTGCCTTTTGACTTCGGCAAAAAGCTGGATGACGGCGGCCTCGGGTGACCGAGTTGAATCGCTAAGCAGGGTAGGGAGATCAAACGCCTGTACATGGAGTCCCTCGAAATGGTGCAAAAGGGCGCCAGCCAGATACTGCTGACCCATTCCTAGCGGTCCGCGGAGCAGCATGCGAGGACGGAATACTCGGGACCGATCGAACTCCTGCTGCATTTGTTCGCGCTGAAAGCTTCCTGATCCTTCCGGTTCCTCAAACTGCGCCTCTTCCAGCGCTGTAAGCCTCTTTCGCTGCGGCAATATCAAAGACAGCAAACTCTTAATCTCCGTGAGAGGCGTGCGCAGCAAAGGCTCGACCGAGGTGGGCAGGGCCGAGGCACCCGATGAGGTTGAACGCTCCGACGACGGGACCATCTTTTTAATCGCCAACATGAAATCCTTGGGGGTCACTTCAATGGTCTTAGGGTCGATGAGTAGCTTCTGATTAGACTTGTAGATTTGGGGGTATCGTCGTTGTACTGCATTAAGGGCTGCTTCGGTGCAGAGAGCACGAAGATCGGCACCTCCGTAGCCCTTGGTGATCTCCGCCAGCTCATCCTTGATGGGCCCAGGCAGCGGTGGATCCCAGCCCTTGGTGTGAATATCCAGGATTGCACGTCGGCCATCCTTGTTGGGCAGGGGAAAGTAAAATTCGCGGTCGAAACGACCAGGGCGCCGAAGAGCTGGGTCAATCGAATCGGGACGGTTCGTGGCACCGATGACGATGACTTGTCCACGTCCATCCATACCATCCATCAACGCCAGCAGAGTAGATACAATCGAGGCATGGATTTGTTCCTGCTTGCTTGACCGTACAGGTGCCAGTCCTAGAAGCAAGGTCAGCTTTTAATAAATTCCCGACAGAAAAAAAAGACATCACTTACCATCGATTTCATCGAAGAAGATAATGCTAGGCTGTGTCTTTCGAGCCTCTTCGAAGAGCAACCGAAGTTGCCGCTCCGCCTCACCCACCCATTTACTCAAAGCATCGGCACCCTTGCGCATGTAGAAGGTCACCTTGCGGCCATTCGAGCTAACACTGTTCGCCAGTGCTCGGGCGAGCAGCGTCTTACCGGTTCCAGGAGGTCCATGGAAAAGCACTCCTCGCGGAGGCACGATGTGGAAGCGTTGGAAGATTTCCGGGTATAGCAGCGGTAGCGACACCATCTCCTTCAACTGGTCGATGTGCCCCTGTAAGCCGCCAACGCTGTCGAAGTTGACGCTCATGTCCACACCCAACGGGTCAGCATCAGCCAGCGTCTGCTTGTCTTTGATTTTGCCGAGATTTGCAGGCGTCCCGGCGTGGCCCTGGGCTGCATCGGCGCTGTGAGTCTGCGTACCCAGGAGGCCAGCACCAAGCTGCGCAGGGCCGGAGATGGAACCGCCTGCACCGCCCTTGGGATGTTGCATAACCTCGTCGTCACTGCTATCGCTATCTACCCCACCCGTAGCAGCCGGGGCGCCTGGCGGGCCCAGGATGGCAGACGGCCCGCCGCCTCCGAACGGCCCATAGGTAGGAAACAGGGTGCGCTGCCAACTGTTGCCGCCGCCTCCCCGACCACGGCGTGAAGGTGATTCATTGACTTCGTTCTCGGCCTCCTCAATGGGTAGAATCAGATCAGGCCGGATGATACGGTAGTCAACATCCTTACGACTGCGGCGAGGCTTCTCGTAGACGATCTCCGGTTGTACTCGGCGACGAGGACGCCCGCCGCGAAGATCCTCCAACTCCTCTGCGAGCTCCTCCGCGATATCAGCACCCGCTTCGGACTGTCCCCGGGATCGGGATGCCCGCTTGCGGAGACCCGGGCGACGGCCGGCGGCGCTATCCTCATCCTCGTCATGGGCCTGGCTTCCCTTGCGTGGTGAAGCTTGCGACTTCCCAGACTGTGAGATCTCGTCGTCATCATTGGACTCTTCCTCCTCGGGTTCGAAATCACTCTCTTCGTCATCTTGGCGTTTGCGTTGTGAACTCTTCGGCTTCTTTCGACTAGAACGGCGCGGGTGGGCAGCCTCGTCTTCTTCAGGCTGTTCGGCTTCGTCGTCTTCCTGCTGGCTCCTGTTGGGTCGATTCCTCCTTCGCGTTGTCGGGCCCTCATCCTCATCGTCGTCCTCATCGTCGCCGCCACCCTCCTTTGCGTCGCCATTTTCGGACTCCGGAACAAACCCTTCATCATCTGCTGTGGTTGTCTCTTGTCCCTCGCCGGCTGCAGGCGGCATGCCGTCCTCGAAGCTGATCTGAACATCACTCTCCATGATTTCGAGCTGAGAGCCTTTGACCTCCATGGTTGTCTCATCGACCATCTCTTCCTCTTCCTGCTTGGGCTGCAACTCCTCCTCCTCCTCGTCCAGCACCGGGGCCCGCTTCGAGCCACGGGATCCCCGGCGCCGCTCCAGCTCAGGGCTCCGTGTGGTTCCTCGTTCGACCGTCTCCATATGTCGACCGGATGTCGTTAGGGCGTGGAAATCCTCCGACGGATCCCGCGTGCGCCGAGTCACCCGGCGGGGGCCCTGGAAGTTCTGTTTCAAGGCATCGCCGACCTTGAGGGTGACCACCGTGCTCTTGCGTTTCTGGGGCGAGGGCTGAGGACGTTCATCATCGTCCGTATCGTCGTCTTCAATGCTGCTGGATTCGGGTTCGTTGTAGAGGGGACGGTTCGTAGCGGCCCGGCGAGCCACTAAACCACGAGCGTTGCGTTGAGCGTTGATGTCGTCGTCCTCTTCCTCGGACTCGGCGAATGAAAGGTCCTCAGCCTCGTCGAAGATCTCGTCGTCGGAGATGATGTCGTCGTCGGAACCGCGACGAGCCCTTTTCTTGGCGGGCTTGGACTTCTTCTTGGATTTGGTTCGAGAGGCGGAGCGGCGGGATGAGCGCACGGGATGATCGCTGTAGTCGTCATCGTCCGAGTCGGACTTGTTGGCCAACTCCTCGATGGAGCGCTTAGCACGAGGCATGATGCCGCGCCAGACAGGGGATCTTTTGCGAATGGCCATGTTAGTATGGTGAAACAAGGCAGGAAAAGTGATGGATTAGCGAGCAGATGATGGGAATGACTGTAGAGAGTAGAGAAAAGGATACAGGAAGCACAAGGGCGATAGAGTGTGGAGTTGAAGCCAAAGACGGGGAAGATGTCCCGCCGCGGCGATTAACCAGCGGAGAGGAATGACAGTGGCACTTACAGAGGCCAATGTGAATAGAGAATGAATGGGAAAATAAAAAGGCCCGTTGTAGACCGACAGGAAGGGCCGGTAGAACAGGAAGCGAAACCCAAATACACTCACTCGGACAGACACACACACACGGAGCGAGCGTTAGAGAAGAGGTCTCACACTCAACGAGCGACGATGATGGTAGATTCTCAGGCAAACCCACAATGGAAGCAGGTTTCAACGGCCATCAATCATAGATGAAGAGGGAGGGGAAGCAGAGGCCCTGAATAATACACACGAGGAGGGGGAAGAGGGAGTGGGAGGGAAGAAAAAAAAAAGACGACGACGACGGCGAAGCGCAATGCGCCAGAGCAAGAGGAGAGAATGGCAGGGAAATGAAATGAACGGAGCGAGGCTCACGGACTGACCAACCGGAAGGGACGCGTCGCATGCAAGCTGCTCAGCACAGGGGGAGGGGAGGGGATTGGATCCCCGATGGAGGGAAAGGAAAAAAAGAAGACAAAAGAATGAATAAAGAAAAAAAAAAGGAATCTCGAAAGAGGCCAAAGTGATAGATAAATCAACCTTGAAAGAAGTTGATGGGATAGATCGAGAGACCGAGATGCTCACAGCAACAAGCAGCAAGAGAGACACAAGAGAAGCAGCAGCTGAACTGCGCGGGCCATTCAGTCCCGGGACCTGGCCTCAGGCCATCAACCTGACCATTGCCCAAAGCAGTCTAGCGTAGCCGCCAATCCGTGAAAAACCAACCGTGTGTCCCAATCACTATCAGCCCTTTCATTCTATCTTCGCTATTCTCATGTTCCCCCGTTCCTTTCATAACATTCAACCCCCCATACCCCCAGAACACAACTCTCCCTTTCCAACTCTACATAGACTTAATATACACCAGAACCCCCAAATATCTACTTCAATATAACAATATATCTCACATCATCCCCAATCATGACCCACTAAAAAAACCTAAATATTCTCTCCCAAAAAATCCATAAACAAAATAGTAGATCTGAACCACATCTCAGCCCCATATGTGCCTAGATAGTCCAAAAATAAAAATAGTAGCCACGATTTCCCCACGAAGCTTATCGCCCTTAAACTCCTTTGCCCCTCCCCGCGTGTTCTCGACTTTCGCCTCTCGCTTGATATCATGTGACTACCTGACCGAAAACATTGCTGAGTCAGCGCGGTCTGTTCTCCCGCCGGCAACTTTCACTCTACGGAGATACATTTATCTACATAAATATACGTCTACACTGCTTCATTATACCATTACTATAATCAAGATACCCATAACTTGTATATTGAAAATCAAAATAATTGGGATAATCATGCTCTCCCGTCACCTTACCCCCCTCCTCCGCTCCCAGATCCCCCTCACTCAGCGGGCCTCCCTGTCCACCTCCACTGCCAGATGGAGTCAGGACTCATCATCCAGTGCTTATAGAGAAGGCGTAAGTGCATCCAGCTATCTGTCTACCTATCTAGCTATCAATTATTTTGATTGCATGCTAATATATCAAACAGATGGCCCGCTACAAACTCTTCGTGAGTCCCTTTGCCAAGGTCTTCCTCGGTGCCATCTTCACCTATCAGGTTATCCACTGGACGTGGTTGAAGTTGGAGATGGATGAGTCCAAGGCGGACAAGAACAGTACGTGTTCCTACCCTCGTCTTGGCTCTTTGTGTTGTGAAAAAAAGGAAAAGAGAGAATGTATGGCTGATCAAATGGTCAGAGGAGGTAGAGGCGCTGGAGAAGAAGGCTAAGGAATTGACTGGCGCGCAAAAATGATCAGTCCATTTCAATCCTTGGTTCAGTTGGTTTACTAGTATATACCCCTTATATTATATATTCATGTCTATGTGGAAAGTGCGTAGGCGGTGGTAGTAGTAGTAGTAGTAGTAAGTTTGATATTTTGCATGCGTATCTTCGTTATGTGTGTGTGTGTGTGTGTGTGTGTGTGTGTGTGTGTGTGTGTGTATCCTAACGCTATGAAAAAAACAAATGATGTGACTGGACGTGTCTAAAGTTACATGCCACCTTTCTCTGTCATGAACATCCTCTAACCATACGACCCTCACCACACGGGCCTGCCTTATAGCACTGCTTGGTCCGTGCCAAGTCATTGCATCCCCTCGTGCGAAGCTAGGCCAACACAGTAAGCCGAGCTGCCTTCGTGAGGCAACCGGTTCGGCTGCATGGTGTCGTCCCCACGATAGAACGATCCCCATGTGGAATCGAGTCTCGACCGTTTGTCCAGACCCGCCATCTGTGCGGCATCTCTATGAGGGTTGGTGGGGGACTGCAGTGCCGGAAACTTCCGCTTCCGCAGATTCGACGATCGAGGGAAGGAACTAGATTGACTGTGGTGTAGCGAGTCGGCCGCGGGCGTCGGCTCCTCGTCGATCACCATCAAGTCGTCCTGCAGTGGCTCGTGCTCGGCTGCACATTCGCTGCTCACGGATTCGTCATCGCTAATTTCATCCAAGGCCGGCTCACTCTCATACCCATCCCCGTCGGCCCGTTGCTTCTTGATTTCTTCCCGCTCTTGACTCTTGGTCAGATGTCCAGAGGGGAGGAGCCAGTCTTCCACGCGCTCGCCTTTCTTGAAATGTTCGACATCGATATGGTTATATCGTTCGTTCCAGGCGCCCACTCCTTGTGTCTTCAGGGGGAGAAGGACCCGACAGAACCCGCACCAGTAGTGCGAGGGTCGCGGATCACCATCGCGGTTGATCCGATTGTTGCATAGAGACGCCCGAACCTCTTCGTCATCGGTCTCATGATGCTTCTTCAGGTGCTGGACGTATATCTCCTGGCGGTAGAATAGGCGCGCACACGGGAGACCCTCTTGCGTGGCATCAGGCAAGGTGCACCGCCAACACTGCGCGTGGAAATGCTGGGAATTCTCGTGCCGCTTCCAATCGGCCTTACTACCGAAGGTTTTGTTGCACTTGGAGAAGGTGCACCCATATGGCCGTTCGTGGCGCTTCTTATGCTTCCTTTCAAAACCACCCCAGTCAGCATAAGTCTCGGCGGATATCAATGGAAACCAAAGCTAACTTACTTCATTTCACATCGCAGGCGCGTCCGCTTCGTGCAAAATTCACATTGAATCCAACCCTTCTTCTCCCGGTCTTCATCCAGAGTGGCTTGCGAAGGGGTGTGGCTGGAGCCAGACGGCCCAGAAAGACGATCGAGGGCGGCGGACAAGATCCTTTGTAGCATATCGCGCTTCCGATCCGACAGCTCCACATTCTGGTCGATGATCTCGTCTCCTGACTCGGATTGTTGGCTCCGTCTTCGCTCGTTGGTGTTCATGGCCTTTGTCATCGCATTGATCATGTTGACCGCAGCTTCATTGACCATGTCATCCATCTTTCCGTTTCTGGCGGGGTCGAATTGGGCGGGCAGGGGGACCTTTTGGTCCAACGAAGAGTCCAGGTTGAGAGCTCTCAGAGCGGGCAGCTCGCTAGGGAGTGGCTTTGCAAGCGGCGGTTGCACCGATGCAGCGTCAGCGCTCCGGTCGTTGTACTCTTCATTCATTCGCATGACGGTATCTGGTGTGAGGGCTTCAGGCGACGGAAACCCTCTATCGACGCTAACTGGTGAGACTGAAGAGCCTTGACATGTATCTTTCGTAATCCCCTCGGACTGAGAGACGGGCTCGGCCTGTAGGGCTGGCGCTTCTTCCGGCATCGAATCAATGAAAGAGGATCCCAACTCCTGTGGCTTCACGCAGGTTTCATACCACTCATGCGACCTGGATGATACACTTTAATAACTTCATCTTGCAACTGATGCGCAGAGTAGTCATGAGACTTACCTTCGTAGCAGCTCATCGACATCTTCGTCACTGTGCATACGAGCAAGATGCTGACGAAAGTTGTCCAATCGGGGCCATTTCTTATTCCGGCGCGGGCAGTTATGTCCGAAGCACATATAAAGGACTTTTGGTCCTCGCTCCGGCTCCTGCTTGTGAACACACTTCTTGTGACGAGCAAGGTCGTTGATGGTACCGAACCCCTCTTTGCGGGTGCAGTTCGGCTCGTCGCATTTGAAGAGCTTCTTGTGCCTAGCTTCGTGTTTCCTGTGACAGTCAGCTTCGTAGCCCTTTTTTTTTATCGACCCAAGCACCCCAGGGGACGCACCTCTTGTCAGAAGGACACTTGCCAGTCCATTGGCAACCGGGATAGTCGCACTTGATCACGTCCTGGCACAACAAGGACGGAGAGTCCATTCGGTCCAATGCATCCATGGTGTCACCATATGGGGCGGTGTTGAGGTCGAGTGCAGACACTCGGTCATCCTGCTCATGGTCGAGAGGTGCCAGGAATGGACTACAGGCTGACTCGAGGGCATATGATGCCGCCACAGAGCGTGTAGTGCAGCCCTGCGTACTATATCCGGAGTCGGAGAGATGGATACCGGTATACTGACTGCCAGCCTCGGAAGGCGTACTGTGATGTCCACTTGACGACCGGCGATCGAGGCCGTAGACTTGGTGCGAACGCGGGACGACGAACGCAGCGGGATAGATGGGCCCACCCGTCACTTGGAGCGGGTTCCACGCCTCTTGATCGTTTCTCCATCGGGTCAGCGGAGGATAGGCGGACGCATCGAACAGCTGGGGGAGGGGCGAGGAGGTTTGTTTGTGATACAGTGGCCATGGCTGAAGAATGGATGGATGACTGGGATGAGGAATGGCTGGCTCAGATGCGAATTGGAAGCCCAAGAATGAGGCGGGATCTCCCAGTGTCAGGTCGGACGGTGACAGTCCGTCTGATGAAAGGTCGACCTGCGAAGCACCGGACGGAGGCACTGCCCGAGTGCCCATGATGCCTTGGAGGATATCACTGGAATTGTCCCAGGGCTTGCTGGGATCGGATGTCTGTGTCACCAAGAGTCAGCTCTGGCCCATCTCTTTGGCCGGTGCCGGGCCTGCACAGATAGTATATCCCGCGCGCCGGTGCATGACCGAATCCTCAGAAAAAGAGTTTGCAACATACACTCATGATGTGTTTAATAATGATAGGATAGAGCAGATCCTACAAGAGCGAGTTTCACCCGCTTTCTCGGTGTGTTATTGGGGAGTAGGAAGATAGCCTCTGGCGAGACGGGAGGAGAGGGCGGACACTGAGAGGTTTATCATATAGCAAGAGGGGACGTAACCCGTCGTGAGGGAACCGATCGGGTTCTAAACCGAGACGGCGATGATGAGCCACAACGCTCCTATCCTAGGATGATCAGTTCCTTTTTCCCTTTTCGGGGTGGAATCGTTGGGTTTAGGAGATTGTCGAGCACCGGGTAGTCAACCAGCTGAGAAGAAGGAAATGATAGAGAGCCGGTAGATCGGCCGCGTATCACTAGAAGAAATAATATATTGGGAGAGAAGAGGAGGAGGGAGAAGGAGGAGGGGAGAATCAGCCGTGGTCGGCGACCAGAAGAATACCTGGGCTAAACGAAAGCAGGAAATGAAAGGAGGGAGGAGAGAGTTGAAAATCAGCCGAAAGAGCGACCGATGAACCGGAGAAAAAGAAAAGGGAGGAAAAGACGAGCAGAAGAGGAGAAGGGAAAAAAGCAAAAGAACGAAAGAGGGGGAACGATAGGAAGACCGACTCGAACTAAGCATGCAAGAGGACGAGCAGCAGCAGCAGCAGCAGCAGCAACAACAACAAGCAGTAAGCGAATACTACTAGTTTGGTGGATGGGAACAATGGCAAAGTGGATGATGGAAAATACGGAGTCCGAGAGGAGGAAAAAGGAAAAAGAAATGCAAGAGTAAAAGAAAAATAAAAAAAGAAAATTGATTAAATCAGGAATAAATAAATATACTGAATAATTAAAACATCTTTAAAAAATAAATAAATAAAAAACCGACAGAGAACAGACGACAGGCCCGAAAAAGCAACACCGGAGAGAGAAAAAGAGAGAGAGAGAGAGAGAGGATCGACCGAAGATCTCCATTACAATCCCTCAAATGCCTTTTCCCCCCACGCGATAACGTGTCGAGGTGAGGGACTCAGGGATTGAGCCAACAATCCAGAAAAAAGAGGCATCCCAGGGCCCATCAGACACACTCTGACAGGACGAGCTAATCGAAGCGGATGGTCATGGCATGTCCCACGTCAAGGTCTCCGCAAGCTGGCCTGCTGGAGAGGAGGCCAGAAGGAATGCCACGCCGATCATCTTAGTTAATGCTCACTCATCCACTGACTGGGTCCTGCTGCAGGTCTTTTGCTAGCACCTTCATTGCGCTTCCCCGATCGATCGAGCCAGCAGACGGACCGGAGAGGAGGAGTGTGTGGTGACAGCTTGAGACTGACTGACTGACTCTATCTACACACTACTTAGTCGTACATTAGAACGAAGCTGGGGGAGGAAGAAGAAGAAGCTGCTGTTGCTGCTGCTGGATGGAGACTGGAGCCGGTCTAGAGAGGCCGGTGGACTCCATCTGTCAAGCATCCAAGCTAGTTCCAGGCGGACCTGTCAGAGCCAGTAAGCCCGACCCACGGTACAAGACTCGATAGATCCTCTTTCCGATAGGCCGGGTGGATAGTAGTGGGTGGGTGGATGGATGGATGGATGGATAGATGGATAGATAATTAGATAGATGAATAGTAGATGGAGAGATCGATGGATGGAGAATGGCAAGGACCAGCTATCGTCTTCTACGTACCGTACCGACCCTCAGGATCCGATCGAGATGCGATCCCAACGGGCGACACAAGGACCCCCTCTGGACCCATGGATATGATGGTCTGACAGGATGGATTGATGATAGATAGATAGTAAGATGAAGAATAGCCCGACCGACAAGACTTCTCGCTAGTATTGGCTGTATTGACTTCGGCGCAATTATTCTCAGCCATCATCATTCCTCATCGTCTTTCTCTCCCTCCCAACACCCCCTCATAGTTGGTTGTTCTGGATATCCTTTTTTTTTTTTTTTCTTTCCTTCTGCCAATTTCGTATCATTCGTTTCTTCTTTTGTTCTTTCTCTTTTCTTCGGTTTTCTTTTATTCCGTGTTTATTTGCTTTTTATTATTCTTTCGCTATCGTGAGTTGTTACTTTTTCCCTTTTCAGCTCTGTTACCACCTGGCTGAAGCAGGATCATCCTTGATCTGTGCATCTCCTCGGAGCCTCTCTCTGTCTCTCGTATTCAGACATTCGAATAAATACTATCCGGCGGCAGCAGCAGCAGCAGCAGCAGCAGCAGCAGCAGCAGCAGTATCACTGGCAGCTCGATGGGAGGCGGGGGGGAAAGCAAAGTCAACGACTGCCTGCCCGCATTCAGACTGTCCATTCTGCGTCCTCCCCGAGACAGGCCATACTCGGTCGAGTAATCAGTCACTGTGACTGAATTGGCGGGATAGCAGAGGGGGTAAGGGGAACGGAAGGGTAAACAAAAAAATAAATAAAATAAAATAAAATAAGAAGACACAGAAGCCCTCGTATGTAAGGTGGTTGAGCGATCATCACGCGGCCGCAGCTCAATTGGCTGCAGGCTCATCGCCAGGGGAAGAAATCCGGTTCAACAAAAGACGGGGCGAACCTTTTTCCCTCGCGGAGAGCCGGACTAAAAGTCACTAACGGGGGCTGTGTCAGTAAGGAGGGTCGCCGATAAGCCGTTCGTCGCGAACTGACAGCCTCGGTCAATACCCACTTCGTCAAATCCACTCGCTTGAATCTTCATTCTCTCTCTCTCTCTCTCTCTCTCTCTCTCTCTCTCTCTCGCTATTATCCACCCGTTTAGGTTTCGCGTCTTCTCCTCCCCCGGCGAGTGATCAGTGAAGACTCCGATCGAGAGGGTAGGGTTGGGTAGCGAACCCTCCACCCGCGTCCCGGGCGATCCTCAGGGAGGTCGGTCCGTTATGGATCTACACCCCCCAAGTCATCACACTGCAGCAATCTATCTGATATAGTCTAGTCGACTGACCAGCAGGCTGGATGCAGAGAGAGTGATGTTAGCTTTCCCATTCCTCTTCCTCTGCCTTTCTCTTTCCATGTTCGTTATCGTTCACTTCTCCCCCCATTCTCCGAAACACCCGACAGACCTAACCTAAGTCTGCATCCCCTCCTAACCCCCCAGGCCAGATGCATGCCGGAATCTCGAATTCTGTAGAGACCCAAGAGAGAAAGAGTAGCGTGTCCAGTAGTGTCATGGCTGCCGATCGACTAGTTTAGTGTTCACACTTTCCCTCCCCGTGGATCCCTTACTCCCTTAGCTTTCCCCATCATCGTCCCGGTCTGCCTAAAAATAATCACCTCCAGCGTCAGATCACACCCCGATGAGCTCGGGGGATCTTCTTCAGTAGAGCAACGGTTGGAGGGTCAAGCCTCATGGGCTGTGCTCGCGGCGTCGTAAACCACGGGGGGGCCATGCTTTCACCCACCACACCCTCCATCCTGTGCTTCCGCCAGGGTGGTTGATCAGCCGTTGGTTTCGCCTTTTCCGACCCGACGTTGACAGGCAGCGAGGAGGGAATCCTCCGTCCTGCGCTGAGTGTCGTCCGGAAGCCTTTCCCCTCACCACCCGCTGCAGTGTGCCGTCAAGTTTCTCTGCGACGTGCGTCGTCGCTCCTCCAATCACCGCATCCTGACCGATTGACAATTTGGGGGCCACGCGTGCAGCGTGCATACGATGTCAGTAGGTAGCACACAGGGCAATAGATGCGAAACTAGCTCATTCCTAGATTGACGAGGTTCGGGGACCATCGTACTCCTGGACCGCGGCTGACGCCATCCATCCCTAGCCAAGCCTCAAGAGATACGCCAAACTAAAATATTAATCAAAATCCAAAACCTATCGGGAGAAGCAAAACAAAAGATGTGGGATGGATCTCTCTAAGCAGGATCAGAAGGGCTCCAGTTGGAGTAACCAAACCACAGTAACATACATGCTACAATACAATATTCCTTCCCAAGAACGGTTAATGGTTCAATGTTCAATCCAATGGTGGGTATATAGGTGGATGCAGATCAACAAGGTACAGAAATGAGACCTGAAGAGCAGACGAACAAAAAAGAAAAAGAGAAAAAAAAGAAAATCCTTTCCCAAAAACCTGAGGGTGGTCATGGGAGTATTTCCTAGGATAGACGACCGTTCCAAGCGCATTCCATCCTCCACCCTTCACGATCTGCAACTGCTGCGCTAGGGTCATTGAGCCCCGTGAGACGTTGCGGCGTCGCCTCTCCCGATCGAGGATCAGGGCTGTTCTCGGTAGCTCCCCGGAACGTAAGGCATGGCCGGTGGCATCGAGCCTTGGTACCCATAGCGGTGGTCCGTGGAAGGTGATACGTAAACCGGCCCCTGATGATCATAGGAGGGCTGCATGTCCGTTGGGGATAGGGAGTAGCTATACGGGTCCTGCAACACACTGAGGTGCGGACTGGGGACCCTCAGTCGAGGCCCAGCGTTGAAAGGGGGCGGATAGGTGACCGAATTCTGATGCATCGGCATGAGCCGCGTCTGATCCGCAGCCCCCCCTGGCAGGCCCATTGTGGGCGCATCATCGTACGCGTCAATTGACTCAGGCTCGGCGGAGATCCAACCACCAGGCATGGTTGGCAAGTGGGGGGAATATGACGGAGTGAAGGACATCATAGGCTCCTGGGCTCTCTCGGCATTATCGCTGGTGTATGGTGCCTGCGTGAGATCCATCGACACCACCGAGAGCCCATCAACGCCCTCCGAGTTTGGCATAAAACGGCTGGCTTCATTTGGTGGAGTCCCAGTATTCGGTCCAGGAGCGGGCTGTTCGCTAGGACCAGTAGTCTCGATCATTGGAAGATCCCTCTCATCTACAAGCGCCAAAACTGGCATAGCGATCTGTTCCATGTGCTTGGCCAAGTGCACCGTTAGCTTCTTCCAGGTGCTACAGACGTTACCGCAGAAGCGACACGGCTCGTCCTTAGGACCTCTGGGCGTGTCATGTCGACACTTCTCTACAAGGTACCAGAGCTGTTCAATCTCCCGCTCACGAATGCCGTCTTCCTGTGAGTCTGGGGAAACCGATTCGCCCTTTGCTGTTTTGGTCGACGCCCCCTGACTTTTCGGCTTCTTGACTTTGGGCTCCGGCATCTTATGCTCCCTGACAAGATGTTGTACGAAATTATCCTTCCGGTAGCAAGTGTGGTTGCAATCAGGAACCGTACACGTCCACCACTCTAGTTTTCGATGGCGCTCACTTTCGTGTCGGACCCAATCAGCCTTTCGCTTGAAAGACTTGGGGTCTGAGCACTGTGGGAAGGTGCATGTAAATGGCTGCACATCCTCGTGGACATGTTTCGTCCAATCCGAAGGCTTCTGAAACTTCTTGACTTGGAAGCATACCGGGCATTCGAATTCCGCTGGCAACCGTTTAACCGGCGGCAAGGGTACACCCGGGGGGAACTGTGCTGCAGTGACTGCACTTTCTCCAAGCTTGTGAGGATCATCCTCGACCGCTCCATGGCCGGGAATATGGAACTGCGTGTGAGCAGCCTCGGGGCTAGCGCGAGGTGCCAGCAATTTTGCCTCACCACCCAATGCGAAGCAGAATTTCCCCGATTTACATCTCTTCTGGCCAATGGCACGAGTATGGCTTTGCTTGCTCTCAACTAGCTTTCGGTACCGACGAAGTTGCTCGTGAGCAAAGCGGTCAATCAGTGCGGGCGGGAGTCGGGGGTTGATCTGCGTGATTTGGTTTTTGAACCCCTCGAGGGTCGGCACCGGCAAATGTGATGGGAGCGGGAACTGCATCACCAATCCCTTCTCGTCCACCATGTCGTCATCCTCATCCTCTGCATTAACTACCGCGTGGTCCTCTCCTGAGCTCTTCTGCGGGACTTCGTGGTGGCCGCTCGCTCGCGGTGAGTAGGCAATATTGGGGATCGGTGGTCCGCCATGACTGGTCATCAAGTCAATCAACCCAGGAGCTGAAGCCCTTGGCAACTCACTTCGGCTTCTTCCCCGACCTTTCAGATAGTTCCAGGGGCCCGACGCAGGATTTGGCGATGCAGCCCGGAGAGAATCTTTGCCTCCAATAGCAGCCATCTGTCCGGCAATAGCGATCACGGCACTGCTCGTGTTCAGGCTTGGAGACCTGGATCGACTAAGATTCAACCGGTGAGGGAAGCTGTCCTTTCTCAACGGGGGGCTTTTGACATCGTCTGCTTTGCTCGTGCCCTCCGCGCTGGGAGGAATGATTGAGAGATCCGATAGCCGCCGTTTCAAGTTGCTGGATGGTTTTCTGTGTAAGAGCTTTCGAAGGCTACTTCGTCTCTCGTGTTTCTTATCCTTGTCATTACTTATGGACAGGTTTTCGAAGGAGCCACCCGGGCCGATGATACTGTTGACCTCTGCATCGTTCAAATGCCGGGTGCCCCAAGTCGCCGAGCGCGAGGCGGTGTCAATGTCCTTGGCTCGTCGTTGGTATTCCACCATAGCGGCGCTTGAGCTTGCAGGCTGCATCCGTGTCTCCTGGGGAGATGCGTCGTGCTCAGGATCTCGCCATGGAGGAGCTCTGAGGAACTGATGTGGGGACGGCTCTCCATCTTCGGGTCTTGGTTGCTCTTGCTCAGGGGCAGCCTCTGCGTCCTCGTGTGCCCACCTCGCTTCATTGACACTGACAGCTGGTGAGTCAGATCGGCTCTCCGCACTCTCCGATCCGCCTTCGCTGATGCCATCATCGCTACTCTCATGGAGCAAGAGGCCAGGCCCCGGTACAGCGGGTTCCAACAGTCGGGATTTCAATGTAAAGTAATCCTGCTGAAGCGATGGGTCCCCGGCACTTTTGGCTCTGCGTCTGCCTCCCATGTGGCCACGATTTCCACCAAGCAAAGACGTGTCCTCATCTCCTGCGTCACTGTTCGCAGCGCTTACAGATGCTGACCATGACTGGATATCGGCATTCTTCTCCTCCAGTCGTCGTCGACTTTCCATCTCGTTTGGACTTGGAACGCAAATATCGTCTCGTGATGATGGCTCAACGCCGCCTTGCCCGGTAGTCATGTTGGGTACCCAGGAACCGTCGTTCGTTCGTGTGACGGTGTAGCTTTGTCCGATTGCCCCATAGCCTTCTTCCATGCCCTCATTTTCTGACTCACTGGTCATATCATTTGGCGAAAGATGGTTGGAAGTCAGGCTCCGGCGTCGCCCGGTCGAAGAAGCATCTCTGACCGGTGAGTCCCCACGGGAGTAGCTTTCGATCTTGACAATAGGGCTTCTCGCCCTGGCCGAATCCGGAAATGCATGAACACTGAGGCTATCGCTCTGGGGACTCGTGATCAATGACAGTGCCTGGGGTTGACGCGCCATTGTTCCTTGCCCAGTCTGAGTCTTGATGTGGTCCGTATCTGGCAGTAGACCAGATTCCCTGGCCGGATTCCGCGCAGCTTGCTGTGGCGACAGCATGGATGTTGACGAGGGCAGCATCTCACCCGCCGAGGTGTCAATATTCGGTAGAGGCAGCGCCATGTTGTCGTGTTGCAGTGCATTGCTCCCGAATTCCACGTCCATGCCAAAGCCTGCGGACAATATATCGGCGCTGGGGGATGTGTGGGCACTCATATCGCTGGAAAAGTCATCGGTTGGGCTGAGAAACTCCGAGTAAGAAGCCGCTTGTCCTTCGGCATGTGCATTGGATAGGTCATTATGTGTTTGCAAATTCAAGGGCGATGGTGGATTTCCTGTGCTATGGTCTTCACCAGGAGCAGGCGTCAATCTAATAGCAGAGGACTTGAAGGAAGCTTCATCGGGGTCCAAGGGAGCCGAGAGGTAAGGGTCGTGGTAATTGGAATCATAGAAGGCAATATCGGTGGGCGACTCGTCCTGGATGAGCCGCGGTGAGAACGTTGACATGCTTGCAGTTGGCCGATGGGTCGGTTCGACCGTGCAACGCGCGCAGTAATAATTGAGTGGCAATGCAGGCAATCACCTCTTCGGTCGAAGAGTCTCGGTGACGCAAGAAAGCAGCTGGGATTCTGCTTTTCTGCGGGCTTGGTCTTCAGTCGGTCTAGGTGAACCAGACTACACACAGAGACCAGTGAACAAGAATTTGAGATGGCATTTCTAGATCGACATGGAGAAAGACCGGGCGCCTCGGCGTTCGTAAGTAGCGAAAAGGGCGTAGAAGCGATAAAGATTATTCAGGAAGGCCCCTTAAACCTGTATGTGGCGGGCGCAAAGTGAGGTGGGTAAGCCACCGTCGCAGTAAGCCGGGAGGAGCGAGTAGTAGTGGGAGGAACAAATGAGGCCAAGACCCGAGCTTAGAGTACTTGGTCACAAGCGAGGGAAAACAAGAGACCGAAGATTGCAGAAGAGAGTTCAGCTAGGCGGGACGGGATCCTGAGTGGAGCGACAAGCAGGATAGTAGTACGGGGAAGGGGAAACGATGGATTCAATTATTCAGGATGTTGGTTGTTGTTGGTGGTCCAAGTTGAGATTGAAGGGGAAGACAGAGAGGCAGGCCGTGGGGGGGGGAGGAGGAGGAGGAAATGAGGGAATAGAAGGATAGCGAGCGATAGATAGATTACGGGTATTAAATGTATTCAATAAGTAGGGCCGCCAGTAGAGCCGCAGTCACTTGGGGAACGAGGGTGTGAGAGAGAACAACGAGCGAAATACTGGGTGGAAGGGGAGAACAAGAGTAAAAGAGGAAACCCGGGAAACGAGGCTCTGTTCTCAAGAAGCCTGGTCTGAGAAAATGACGCGAAGCAAATGGCAAGAATTAGAATCCCCCGGGGAAGTGAGGGTGAGTTGAGTAGGTGAGAAGAGAGAGTCAGAGTGAGAGAGAGAGAGAAAGAGAGAAAATGAGGGAAGCGCAAAGGCGCCTTGCGGCTGTGACTTGAACAGCGAATCCACATTTCACCACTCGAAGGGAACTGAGCCACATCGGAAGGGGGGTGAAGCTTACTGTCGAGTAACTACAGAGTATCAGGGGGGGCCAGACAGGCCAAGCAACTAAAATTCCAACCATCATCTTCAGTCAGAACCGGATGAAGGCCTCAATCTGGCTGGTGAGAAAGCGACGATACGCGCCGGCGTGCAGCATTGCGGGCCACTCACAGCCAAGCGGGGTACCAACTAGCCAAACTAAAACTAACAAGTTCAGGTACGAATAAGTCAGAATGGGTAGACTAGACTAAAGAGTTAGTAGTAGTTAGTGTTAGTGGGGGTGGGAATGCAGTTATGCCATCTCCTGAATATTCACAGTGCTTGCTTGCTCTTCCTTAATGTCAAGAACAAGAAATATTCGATCCCAGCACTGACCCCTCCCCAATGATCCTGCCAAATGTCATAGCAATAACGGGAGATAACACATAGTAGCAGAATCAACGAACAAGATTGACATAAGAACAATAACAATAATAATAATATTCCGAAGTCTGCACCATGCTGATCCCTTCCTCTCCCAAATTAAATCAGTC